TCTGTATTCCTTTTCTCTTAACCTTAAATCTTGCCCCCACAGTTTGCCTCCACTCCCTGAACCCATCTTTCACCTTTAATCACACACAGGAAGGTATATAGTGTCAAAACTGCTGTGTTTTTCAGTTTATCTTCAATGTTTGACCAATTGAGAGGCAAGAAAACATAAGCAATCTAGTGATTTAAATATGTAACATGTAAAGAATTGCCAAATGCTCAGAATTTAGTTATTGTCTATCACAACAAACCAATCCCATGCCTTTATATCCCTTGCTGTGGAATAAACTGGGTGTATGTTTTACAGACCCTTTTTTTCATTCAGGGCAGCCCCTAAAGGACATGTTCGGGAGCTGCTTCTGTTACTATGTTCCATTAATCAGACTTTGAAACTCACAAAGATAGAACCAGGAAAATCAATCTGTGAATATGATGGTGTTTGGGTTTTTTAAAGAAAATTGTTTTTGCTCCCTACCAAAGCATGAAAACTGTGTCCTTGGAAGTGTACTGTAATGTTTTTTGGGGAAATGGGGATGGACTGAGAATAATCTTCATATTCTTGTCTCTTTCCCCATCTCTTTCCACGAGCCCCTTTAGTATCTTCATTTCCATTCTCTGAGACAAATACCTCACTTTTTCCTTCAGTCATGTTTTCTTTTTTTTTTCTTTTTTAATATATTTTATTGAGTTTTCACAGAGAGGAAAGGAGAGAGACAGAGAGCTTGAAACATCGATGAGAGAGAAACATCGACCAGCTGCCTCCCGCACACTCCCCACTGGGGATGTGCTCGCAACCAAGGTACATGCCCTTGACCGGAATCGAACCTGGGACCCTTCAGTGCGCAGGACGACGCCCTATCCACTGAGCCAAACCGGTTTCGGCAGTCATGTTTTCTTTTCCACCTTTTCCCGTGTCTATTTTTCTTCCATTTTGTTTCAGGCAATCTCCTATTTTTTGTGAACATCATTTAATAATTTAATGTTATTTCTCTCATTTACTACAGTATATGTTTATGAATACTTAATAAACGGCTGTCTTTTGGTTGAATAATAATACAACAATGCAAACTTCACACTTTATATTCAGCTCCTCTTATCCTTAAAGCAATCTGGAAAAGTAGATATTGTGTTATATAGATGAGGAACTGAACCTGAGAATCAGTAACTTGTGAAAGACCACATAGGTGATATATGTCAAAACTCATGCTTTTTTTCATTCTTAGAAAAAAAAAGCTTGTATTCTTTTTACACTGCCTTTGTCAGAGATCTGATGTAAGTCACCAAAAGGCCTAATAACATCTTCCTCTACCCTCATCGTCTAACGTCAACCCAGTATCTTCAATGTGTGTACAGCCAGTTGTCACCTTAAACCGAACCCACCTTCTTCTCCCCAAACTAGCACCCTTCCACCAACACACCATTTCCGGTTACTGGCTCCAGCAATTTTTGTCACATTCAGGGACAAAACCTTGCTGTTCATTCATTCAACAAATATTTCAATACTGTTGAGCACATAAAAGAAACGTGCTCGGAATGCTGAGGTATACAGCGATAAGTTTGGTGGGGTTTCTGCCTTCATAAAGGCTGCGCAGCGGTTCTCAACCTGGGGGTCGAATGACCCTTTCACAGGGGTCACCTAAGACCATCGGAAAACATATATAATTACATACTGTTTTTGTGATTAATCACTATGCTCTAACTATGTTCCATTTGTAACAATGAAATTGGAGGCCACCACACCATGAGGAACTGTATTAAAGGGTCGGGCATTAGGAAGGTTGAGAACCACTGGCTGATAGGCTACCAGGAAAGACAAGTGGAGACCCAGACCAGTGCGGGGAGACGGGAGGCTTCCTGGAGGAAGCGATGCTGCAGGTGGAGGAGGAGGAGGTTTGCTCGGTGGGTGAAAGCACGGAAAGAGGAGGAGGAGGGACCCCGAGAGGCACCGCGGGAGCAGCGCGGGGAGACGCTGGCACTGGTTCCAGCATGAAGGGCCTGGTGAACCCTGCGCAGGAATCTAAAGGTCTCGAAGAGGCAGGAGGGATCTCAAAAGAATCAAACTGCTCAGTTTGGAGAATTCTTCCCCTTCCCTGAACCCAACCTATTGCTAAGTCCTGTCGCTTTCTGACCGTCAGATTCGTTCCGTCGTCTCTAGCCCCACGGCCACCACCCTGGGCGGAGAGGACAGCCCCTTCATCAGCCGCTCCCCACGCTCTGCCCCCGGCTGCCCTGCGCACGGAGCCGAGGCCGGCAGCCTGAGAGATGCCGGGGACAGGGAAGTCCAAGTCCCGCCTCTGGGCTTCCATCGCTGGCCTATCCAGTATCCCTACTTCAAGCCACTTTCCAACGAGGCTGCCGGCTTCCTCAGGAATCGTCCCCAGGACAGTTCTCAGTCGGTCCTCGGCCCGCCACCTCCCGCGTCAGCCCCTTCTCCCGGGCACAGCGCGCTCCCGGCGACCTGCGGGCTCCGCCACGGCGCGCTTCCTCTCCTCTCCTCGGGCTTCTTCTCGACAGCACAGCCTGTGCCAGCCATGCCTGCCCTGCACTAACTCGCTGGACGTCGCACACGAGGTCTTTCATTTTCTCTGGTCAGAAAAGACTCACATTCTACTCACACAAACCTCCTAAAAGCCCGGCCAGGTGCTTCCTGTGCTCAGAACCATCAACTTTAACGGAACCGAGTGCGGCGGGGTTTGCGGGGTCTGAGGGCGCAGCGGGGAGAGGGGCTGACACCCCGGAGGGCGGACTGGAAGCACCGGGCCCCACACAAACGAGCGTCGGAGACACGAGAAAGGGTGGGCGGGAGAGCCGAGAAGCAGGACGGCAGGGACCAGGTATGCGCGACGCCCCTCCCTCCACCCACTCCCGGGGATCGCGGCCGTTGGTGGGCGTGGCCGCGCCAGTCTCGCGGGAGCGGCGGTTGGGCGGGCCG